GTTATTAAATAGAATAATACATTTTTATAGACATTTATTTCTGTGATGCACCTTCTTTGTCAGTTGTATCATAACTTAAGCACTGTTTGTGATCAAATTATTATAGTATATGGTCATAAATAAATCTAAAAATAACTCAAGTGTTTATTCACAAAACTAAATCAGTGTAAATGAAAAAGTAGTAATAAAGTTATAATATCTTAAATACTACATTCATATTCCTATTCATTCATTCATTAGATAGTTTTATCTAGTAGTAACAAAGAAAACTCCTCCCAACAGAGGAATCTCTTTCGGATGATGACGGTGGTAGCCCAGCTGGAACACCAAGTGGGACACTGGATCGAAGCGGCCAGGTCCCCGGCTCCAACTCAGCCAGCCGCAGACAGAGAAATGCGGCACTCAGGGCAGCGCGGCAAGCAGAACTAAAGAGGTAGGGCCCTAGCAGTACAAAGGCAAGGAAGGAAAGGTGGAAGAGTAACGTTGAAAGATTTTTATGCTGGGGGGGGTTGCAATTATGGTAGATATTAAAAAAAAGTATTGAGTGCTCTTGGCTAAAGAGCCTAGATAAAGTAGCTTGGGTTTAGGGTGTAAAATCTTATTGTGTATGAAGTGTTTTAAAGAAATACTGAAGACAGATGGTAATCGCAGGTTGAGAATGGCACAGGAGATCCAGCGGCAGTTAGAAGAATGTGAAGTGAAGACGAGAGAACTGGAGGAACGAGGAGTAGCTGTGGAAAAAGCATTACGAGGAGAAGGTGTACGTAGTTGCATCACGGTTTTCCATCGTGTAGATTGATAGTTGATATCCAGCGTGATAGATTGAAATCCTGTATTGTAGTATTTTATTTGGTGATATGCGAAACCTAGTGTAGCATAAGGACCATTACTGTGTCAGATATTTGATAGCATTTAGATAACATCGACTGGAATTTCTGCTTGTAGTATAATAACACCAAGCATTTTAAGTACTCCAAGTGATACAACTACTCCAGACAACCAAGAGATTTTTTTCCCTTCCAAACCTCCAGGGCGGAGCGAATCGTGACGAAGCTGAGCTCATGGGTGACTGGTTCTCCATGGTCCACGAGAAGAACGCCCTCGTCCGGTGGGAACAGGAGCTCATGGTCCGTGCCAAGGAGCTGGAGCTGGAGGACCGGCATGTCAGACTTGAGCACGAGTTAAGGCGGCGCATGGCTCTCTCTGGTGGGTGCTCTTGGGACTTCCTGTGTTCTGTAATGCGAGAGGCATGTTCTTTGCAGGCTGTTTTTGTTTCAGATCATGGAAGGATGAAGGTGTAGGTATTGTGTTATAAATATGTACTGTTTTTAAGAGAAGGCTGTTTAATTTTAAAGGTTGTAAAGCTGCATCATTGAATGTATCTGTATAAATGTAAATGGTATGTACATTAATTGGGGGGATAGCTTTCATAAGTGTATATGGATGCTTCGTTTATTGTTGTATGGTTTCTCATAAGTGACTAATTAATTATATATATCAAAATGTAGGAAAAAATTAAATAAAGATAAAAATGCGACTCCTGTGTGTGTGTGTGTGTGCCTGTGTGCCTGCATGCCTGTGTGCCTGCATGTTTGTGTGTGTGTGTGTGTGTGTGTGTGTGTGTGTGTGTGTGTGTGTGTGTGTGTGTGTGTGTGTGTGTGTGTATGTGTGTGTGTGTGTGTGCGTGCATGCGTGCATGCATGTACAGGTAGGTAGATAGGTAGGGAGATGTAGGAAAATGAATGTATGAGTATAGACAAAATATAATAGGAGGAAGGAAGATAAACTGAGTATGTTTGCTTACTTGGTTGGTATTCATTTGTACACTTGTTTATGTGTTTAGGCTCATAGTATAATGGATGAGTATGGAGCTTTCAATATCCATTCATACAATATTTTCTTATGAGAGAGAGGATGAAAGTGAGAGTGAGAATGAGAGGGAATACATATGCATGATTTTCAAAAATCTATGTATTGCTTTATCAGCAGCTGTAATAGTATGCTAAGGCTTGTATTTGGTAAAATATCCCGTAAAGTGTAAATAATTATAAAACTTCAGCTTTCTTGCATGTTATGTAACATAAAAATATCACTTTGCAGAACATGAAAAGTCGCGAGAAGACATTGACCGAGAAGGTACCATACTCGCAGAAATCCTGAACATCCTGGAGCAGAAAGATGCCTTAGTCAACATGCTGGAGGAGGACAGACAGAGGTGCGACCACAGCCACCACCAACACCACCACTCGAACAAAAACCCTTCCCCCAGCACCTCAGACACCAGTGAAAAGCTTCCCCAAATCCATATAACCAACCTGCCTTGCAACCCAATCGAGTGTTCCCCCACCACTGCCGTCTCACCTCCTCACCTGACTACCATTCCCCAGAGCTTTAAAGATTCACACACAGCCATCGCATCCTTTTCTAAGTTGTCTTCCCTTCTACCCGCTAACAACAAAGGACTCTTGACATCCTTGTTGAACCCAGACTCGAGCCAGTGCTCTAGCTTGACGTCAGTGCTGCATGGTAGCTTAACTCCTTCCTCCTGTTCTTCCCAGAGCTCAGCTAACGTTTCTGTAGCTTCAAGCAGGCGCTCTAGTCAGTTTGATCAGTTTCCACAGAACAGCAAGCCAAGTGTCTTTGATATAGATCCATGTAGCAGAATGTGCACGCATGCTCAGCACGCTCGAAGGAAGGTGAACCTTTTCAGCAGACTAAGCCGTGTAAGGCGCACAACATTACCTGACCTTAGCCCAGGAGATGGGGAGCCCTTTTCAGACCCGCCCCTGCACTATCGCCGCTATAGCCTTTCCATCCACGTCCCATATCGCATGCCAACTACCAACAGGGGTGAGATGAATAGCCCAAGGTTAAAGAGATTCAATGGGAATCCTGTCCATAGTAACAGTACTCTCTGCACCCAACTATTAAGCACTGCATGTGGTTATGCCCTAATCTTTGTTGTCTGTGTTTGGTTCTTGCCTCACATGATGGCATTGTTGTCATTAATTCTCAATGAAACTTACCTGGGACCATCCCCTTTCTAATATTTAATGTAGAGTATATAATGCTGATGCCTTGCTGTAGAAAGGGTTTTGACATCCATTAAATTACCTGATTTATGTTTTGATGTAGATTATGTTAAGGGATTTTTATGTTTAGGCATGTTGTTTTGCATTGAATAGAGTGCATGACTGTGATAGTTTAAGTTTATCTTATTAAGGAGCTTTCCACTGTAACCATTTGTATATTTGACCTTTCTAAATATAAGACCAAGTTCTTTTGGGAGGGAATCTGACAAAAGCAACATCACTGCATGACAAAAGGAAGGTGGAGGCTTGAACTGCACCTCCCCTCAGGACAAGCAAGACAGACTTCCCCTTCTCTCCCCCTCTCATAGCCTCTCCCTCACATGTTCTTCCCCTCGGGACATCTGGCTGGCAAGCTGTTGTTCTGACCGGCCTCACCCACCTTGTAAGTGCCCGTCATGTTACACTGAAGCAGCCAACACTAACACTTAAACTGCTATGTACTGCAACTTCTCTAACTACTAATGGAATTAACAGGCTTCATTTGTACATTTGGTTTGTGGTCGAATATAAATATTGCACCCTGCTAACTCTTGGTGAATAAATGCTGTTGTATATAAAAAACATGGCATTGTTTATTTAGAGCAATTTAAGCAAGACCACAAATGCACTAATGTCACAGACAGAAGTACATGGCCTTTTTATCTGATATTTGCATGCATTTTATGCCTGAACCAAAATACTTGAAACACGTTATAAACAGTTTGATAATGCTCTCTGTTTATTTTATTTTTTTTTTTCCCCCTTTCTTGGCAGTTATCAGAGCCCATTTTTCACATACAGTTATGTTGCTGGGTTTACTGAAGCATGATAGTTTATATGTTTACCATTTTGTAATTTTCTTTCTTGAATTTTCTAATTGTGGTAACAAAACTGAGTCAATGGTAATAATGCAGTTAATTTTATTAATGATGAAGGTATTTATTAGTGTATCTTTATTCACCAGCTTGGATCTTTGTATTTTGTTATTAACTGAAGATTTGTAGTGCTTCTTGATGATTTAGAGTGTTACGTAAGTGCATGCTTTAACACAATAGAATATTTTTGATGCATTTAATTTGTTCATTTTTTTTCCTTTCTCATTGATCTTATCTCATTCTTTATGAGTATTTTCCTTGTGTTTGATTTTCCTTATGCATTTGATTGAAGTAGCACAGTTTCCATTCTGATTAGAAAGGCTCTCCTTTGCCTCTTTACATAGTATATTGCTTATGTAAATTATTTATATTATAACCTTAAGAGATGTGTATGCATGCATGTGTGCGTATCTGAATCCCATCCCCATCCTTTGTTTTTTAGAATATTTAAGGAAGTAATTTTTTTTTTATTCTTTACATAAAAAAATGTTATATATAATCTAGTAACTATGATTCCAGATTTCTTCCCTGCCTCCACCCATCTGTCTGTCCCTCACTCGGTGCATGCTTTTGTTTATTTATTATTTATTTATATATATATATATATATATATATTTTTTTTTTTTTTTATTATGATATTTTATAAGACAGTGTGAATGAGCGAGTGGAGAGAGAGAGAGAGAGAGAGAGAGAGAGAGAGAGAGAGAGAGAGAGAGAGAGAGAGAGAGAGAGAACGAGAAAGAGGGAAAGAGAGAGAGAGAGAGAGAGAGAGAGAGAGAGAGAGAGAGAGAGAGAGAGAGAACTAGAGAACAAGAAAGAGAGAGAGAGAACGAGAAAGAGGGAAAGAGAGAGAGAGAGAGAGGGAGAGAACTAGAGAACAAGAAAGAGAGAGAGAGAGAGAGAGAGAACTAGAGAACAAGAGAGAGAGAGAGAGAGAGAGAACGAGAAAGAGGGAAAGAGAGAGAATGAGAAAGAGAGAGAGAGAGCGAGGATTTTTTTTATTATGATATTTTATAAGACAGTGTGAATGAGCGAGTGGAGAGAGAGAGAGAGAGAGAGAGAGAGAGAGAGAGAGAGAGAGAGAGAGAGAGAGAGAGAGAGAGAACGAGAAAGAGGGAAAGAGAGAGAGAGAGAGAGAGAGAACTAGAGAACAAGAAAGAGAGAGAGAGAACGAGAAAGAGGGAAAGAGAGAGAGAGAGAGGGGGAGAGAACTAGAGAACAAGAAAGAGAGAGAGAGAGAGAGAGAGAACTAGAGAACAAGAGAGAGAGAGAGAGAGAGAACGAGAAAGAGGGAAAGAGAGAGAATGAGAAAGAGAGAGAGAGAGCGAGGACGAGAGAGAACGAGAGAGAGAGAGAGAGAGCGAGGACGAGAGAGAACGAGAGAGAGAGAGAGAGCGAGGATGAGAGAGAGAGAGAGAGAACTAGAGAACAAGAAAGAGAGAGAGAGAGAGAGAGAGAGAGAGAGAGAGAGAGAGAGAGAGAGAGAGAGAGAGAGAGAGCGAGGACGAGAGAGAGAGAGAGAGCGAGAGAGAGAGAGAGAGAGAGAGCGAGAGAGAGAGAGAGAGCGAGAGAGAGAGAGAGAGAGAGAGAGAGAGAGAGAGAGAGAGAGAGAGAGAGAGAGAGAGAGAGAACGAGAAAGAGAGAGAACGAGAGAGAGAGAGAGAGAGAGAGAGAGAGAGAGAGAGAGAGAGAGAGAGAGAGAGAGAGAGAGAGAGAGAGAGAGAGAGAGAGAGGACGAGAGAGAGAGAGAGAACTAGAGAACAAGAAAGAGAGAGAGAGAGAACGAGAAAGAGGGAAAGAGAGAGAGAGAGAGCGAGGACGAGAGAGAGAGAGAGAGAGAACAAGAGGGAGGGAGGGCGAGAGAGAACGAGAGGGAGAGAGAGAAAGTGAAAGAGAAAGAGAAAGAGAAGAAAGAGAGAGAGAGAGAAGAAAGAGAGAGAGAGAGAGAAAGAGAAGAACGAGAGAGAGAGAGAGAAAGAGAAGAACGAGAGAGAGAGAGAGAAAGAGAAGAACGAGAGAGAGAGAGAGAAAGAGAAGAAGAGAGAGAGAGAGAAAGAGAAGAAAGAGAGAGAGAGAGAAAGAGAAGAACGAGAGAGAGAGAGAGAAAGAGAAGAAGGAGAGGAGAGAAGAGAAGAAGAGAGAGAGAGAGAGAAAGAGAAGAAAGAGAGAGAGAGAGAAAGAGAAGAACGAGAGAGAGAGAGAGAAAGAGAAGAACGAGAGAGAGAGAGAGAAAGAGAAGAACGAGAGAGAGAGAGAGAAAGAGAAGAACGAGAGAGAGAGAGAAAGAGAAGAAGGAGAGGGAGAAAGAGAAGAAAGAGAGAGAGAGAGAGAAAGAGAAGAACGAGAGAGAGAGAGAGAAAGAGAAGAACGAGAGAGAGAGAGAAAGAGAAGAACGAGAGAGAGAGAGAAGAGAAGAAGAGAGAGAAAGAGAGAAAGAGAAGAAAGAGAGAGAGAGAAAGAGAAGAAAGAGAGAGAGAGAGAAAGAGAAGAAAGAGAGAGAGAGAGAAAGAGAAGAAAGAGAGAGAAATAGAAGAAAGAAAGAGAGAAAGAGAAGAGAGAGAGAGAAAAGAAAGAGAGCGAGAAAGAGTAAGAGTAGAAAAAGAGAGAGAGAGAGAGAGAATGTATACATATATACATGTATACATATATATATGTATATGTATATTGTATATATATATATGTGTATGTGTATGTGTATGTATATATATATATATATATATATATATATATATATATATATATATATATATATATATATATATATATATATATATATATATATGTATGTATATGTATATATAGTGCATTTGGCCTTCTGAAGATGTAAGATGAATAATTGAGTGCATACACATCTCTCTTCTTCTACCACCATCCACCTTGTAGAAAATTTCAGTCTTTGTCTAACTTCTTCATTTTGTATAATAACCAATAACTGTAATTTCCACTTTTGAGCATAAATTTGAATACAGATTAAAATCTTGTTGATGTGAGGACCATACTCCAACTTATTGTGTGTTTGTTTGTTTGTTTGTTTTCTACTCATGGTTAATATTTGAAAGCACTGCTATGTATGAAAGGAAATGACACTAACACAATATGCATGGTAGAGCATGGATGTTTTTTTGTGATTGAAGAAGAATTACTTATATTATTAATTAGACAGGATACCCAAAGAAAAATCAGACATAGCATTTGAAGTAAAACAGTAAGTAGATTGTCTTTATCACTCTAATATATGCAAGATGGTTAAATTGAATCAGTACATTGTTAAACACAAAATCTTTATTCCTCACTGTGTTAAAAATCCAGAAAAGAGTGAATGGAGTTTATCATATATTTTCACAGAATTTTTTTGTTATTTTTCTTTCTTTTTCCACATGAGTCTTTCCTTCCCTTTCGACTTTCTTCGAACATGATTTTTGTGATCAAGGGAAGATATTGCTTGGGCTGTTTCAGGGACACTCAAACCAGCTGGTACTAATAACACTCTTTCTCCTAGATTAGTGTTTTTCTTAATCTTTTGGAAAATTGTTCAGAATTACCTTTCCATATCATGAAATTGTCTTTCCAAATGTCTCTGGTGGTAATTTTTTATATTTTTTTGTTTAGTTTTCCTTTAGTTTTACTTATTTACATGTGCATGATGTCATATTGTATACATTATATATAAAGTTGTAGTTCAGATAGAATTAATTTAGCTTGTAGCCTTTATACATATGATTAATATTTTTTTATACGTTGAAATGAGAAATACTTTTTACATATTGTTCACAATTTAGCTAGATTGTTTTAAATCATGGTAACAGTTAAACACACATTAGAAGTATTACTAAATGCTTTGGTATTAGACACACACTAAAGTCAGCCAAATCAGAAACCAAAATTCTCTCCTGCAGGTACATGGAAGAAGACCGGGACCTAGAATCTGTTATGCTTCGGAAAGGATTACAACTCTCGCCACTAAGAAGGGAAACGGGTGTATGAACGCGTTGTAAGCAAGTGCAGTCAGTTCGTCTTGTGCATGATAAGGTGCTGATAAGATAGAAAGTTAGAAAGGCTGGCCAAGATAAGTTTTGGGAGATTGTTGCCCTGGTGTTATATCTCAAAAACTAAAAACTGTTCGGTTATCTTCCTCTACAAGCTCGTTGTGTCTATTACCCCTTTTATAATGCAGACAAAAAGATGTTCTTCCGTTTGTGTTTTAGTCATTTTATTTTATTTTTTATTTTTTTTTTCCATCTCTCTCACTCAAAGAACTGTCGGTGGGCACTTTCAGATGCTTTTTCATGCATCAGCTTTGGGAACTTCTCATTAGTAGTAGAAGGTAGGATTCACATTTTATGTCTGAATAAATGGTTTAATTTTAGGTTTCATTTTACAATTTTATTGTATTTTTGAGGTTGACCAGTGATAACGTCTGTATGTGTACCCATATGTATGTATATATATACAATCTGTGTGTTTATGTACATATATATGTTACCGGTTACCATATATACAGTTTTGTAGTTACCTTTTAATTGTCTACAATTACTTGTTGAGTCAGTATTGAGCAAGAGGTAATTTTGCAACTTTGAGGCTGTACGAAGTGTCATTTTCCAGACAATAATTTTTTTTATTAAAAAAAAAAATAACAAAGACGAAAAAATTTAAGGTAGCATTCTGTTCTTTGATCATACTTAGATTAAAAGTGAGGGTATGAGAAGTTATGCTGTTCCTGATGTTTGTAGCAGTATCATCTAATAGTGCTTTAAGAAAGACGTTTATTGCTAGAAAGGTGCAAAGTTGCTGGTGGGAGAAGTACCCTAAAGTGTGAAGAAGCAGACCTGTTTAAATAGTAAATATATTCAGTTTGTACATAGCCCTGTTGCCACATCTGGCTGAGGATTTTTTTTTTTTTTTTCTAAACTAATATAGCTGATCATTACACTGTATATGTAATTATGAAGGCAATTGGTTGAGTTTTGTTTAAAATGGTGCCTTTTATCATAGGGTCAGCAGCAAATATATGTGTATAATTGTAAACTTAAAGCTGCTTCTGACCTTTGATCATTTGCAGATCCATTTAATTTTATTTGAAAGGCCATATATGATGGTCTGCAGCTGTTTATTGGGTCCATTTTAGATAAACATACACAGGCACAGACACACATATGCTCAGTGAAAATTTGGGATTACTTTCGTTAATTCGTCAACACACCTGTATGGGCAAATAAAAGGGTACTTGATCAGTGTACAGTAGACGGTTTCATTTTTTTTTTTTTTTTTTTTTTTTTATATATATGTAGTCTCGACCAAATCCAGAATCTTTACTGGCTTGTTTTATGGTACTGATATTATTCTCAGTGGTGTTCTTACATTATTCTATTTATTTGTTACAAGTAATTGCTCTCTTAATTAATATGTATGTTATACTTGAAATGACTGTAACTGTCATAAAATATATTTTATAAGGGAGCATTTCTTTAGCAACACTACATTGGTATAATTAAAATTGTACTTTTTTCTACTTTGAAGTGTAGCTTTAATTCATGCATTTGTAAATATATCAACTCTGGTATAGAAGAAAATCACATTGCATGAAACCTACTTATTTTAAGGCAGTATGTTATTACTGGAAAAAGAAATGGTTTCTCAGATGAGGAATGAAGTGATTTTATTCTTCTTAAAAGGATCAAACTTTTTTCTTTCTTTTTTTTTTTTATGTGGACAGACAGGATAAATAGGAAAGATCCAGCGGGATAGACAAGAAAGTGTTAGTGTGATATAGCAAGAATGTTGAGTATGCCATCAGCTGATGTTAAATGATGGGAGAGCAAAGGCTTCAATTGATTTCCTTGTATAGAACATTTTCTTATTAGTCTTTGCTTTTATTTAATATTCAGGTCTGTAATGATTCAATTCATAGATATTGTAAATTTGCAATGATTTTATTTATATAACTTTTTTACAGATTTCATTGTATCATGTACAGTGCAATGATGTTATAATTGGCTACTGTTTCATACTGTATCATTATTTACCATGGTGCTCTTAGTAAATAAAATCTTTGAATTGTTGTTTTCTAAACCTTTTCTTTGTTAGGACTATTTCAAGATGTTTTGATCAAGAAAATTTTTGTCACATTTTCATCCATGCTTTTTTATTAGATACTTATAGTAGTTCACTATCAGACAGTTACTATTTATAACTACCATATTTCAATTAAGTACTGAATTTTGGACAAAACACAACTAAAAATGAATTATATATTTTCTATTATAATAAAATCTAATTGGAGTTAAAGATAAATTAAGTATTTTTTCACATTTTTATTGACATACAAAGCTACTTGGAGAAAGTAAAGCTTTCCCCCACTTGTACAATTTTGTGTATAAGTAAAATCAGAAGTAGCACTTGGCTGAAACTTCCATTTGAGGCAAAATACTGAGATCGATGAGATGCTTGGCCCCAGAACTGTAACACCAACCACACTGCAAACTAGAAAAGAAAATTATATTAAAAATTTACAGTATTGGTTTCATCTGTAAATATACACCAAAAAAAATTATATACTAAAAATAATACAATGAAAATCATGCTAGCAATATTTTTGAACCACCTGAATGGATATATCCAAAGTCCTTTTAAAACTAATAAAGCTATGAAATAACAGCTGAAAATACAATGAACATGTCCACTATGACTAGTTTAACTGTGTTTACCATAAAAGGTTCTACTAATATTTAGTTAACAAGAAATCTATTCCTAGCCCTACCAATGTTAACCCTTTTTCTTGATTTATGGACTTTTTTTCCCTTGCTATTAGTATTGTTAACATTATAATATTCATAATGCTAATAATAACAGTATAAAAAATAAAAGGGGAGGAGGGTATCAGGTAAAGTAAAGTAAGCCTACTCTATGGTTGCCATGTAATCGTGAATTATATATACACAATACAAAACAAAAATGTATTGAAACTGTTCCTGATAGCAATCAGTTACAACATACAAATACTAGTGAAACGGTATTTGAAAAATAATAATAAAGGATTAACCTTTAACAAAATTCACATACTTACAAGGGTTTTTGCAACTGCACGTTTGATTTAGAGGATGTCGCAGGAGGACTTTTCCCTGAAGGGGTTGTTCTTCTGGGAGGAGAACCCAATTAGGAGGTAGTCTTCCTGTTCATGCTGGAGGATGAACTGCTTGATGTCCTCCACAGCCTCAGACACAGGAGTGCGCTTGATGCTCGCTTCACGGCGGAGCTGCTCCACTATCGAGCTCTGGACTTGCAAGTTGGTCTGCTGAAAATGGAATGAAATATGGAATGTAAGAAAAAATTAAACCTGAAAAAATGAACGTTTAAAATTCAGAGCTAAATATCCGAAGATGAGAAGCAATACCTAACACTATCTCCTTTTTTATTTCCTCTTTTTGTTTTAAAAATCTAATTAAATGGAGAAAGGCACATTCAGGAAAAAAGATAATTCAACACTCATTCATTTACTATAGAATCAAAACCAAGAATTATTCTGAAATTTTGTCTGGTAATCTTAAACCTATGTGACACAAATAAACAAATAATTCCTATTCTTTGTTCTTTTTCCCTATCACTTCTACATCCACACATAAACATAAAAGTCACTATTTTTTCTTCCAAAAGAGAAAGGTAAAAATATGCACAGAAAAGTAACTTATAAAAGGTGTCACCACGGTGAGTACCTCTGGTTATATGCCTACACCACTTTCTAAAATTTTACATGCTGAAATTCAGGGAAAATGAACGACTCATTAGAATATCAGTATTGGGAAAATGAAAAGTATATAACTTAGGAAGAAATTGTAAATGGTGATAGACAAATAAAATAAAATTCATAATCACAGGGGTCTCGCATATTTTTTTTTCTTTTTCACAAAACTTTCAATCATAATTTTTCAAGTCCTAAAAATTCCAGTCATCCAAAAAGCAGAATTAAAAAAATCAAAAGCAAAATATATGTAAATGTAATCTTTAGGATTATTTACTACACTGCACTCCTTTTCTTTTAAGCAAGAATACCCTTTCTCGTTGATGGGGAGAAACAGGGTAATAACCTTTTTTTTTCTGTGACAAATATACACACATGATATACTACGCACACATGCACGTACACCCCTCCCCCCACACACACAAGGAAAGAAAGAAGTGACAAAGAAAGGATATTCAACTAGTGTTCAATTGCTGTTAGTTTTAGTGAAAAAACAGGCAACTGCTAATATGTGAAAGAGAATTCTTTTGCTCCAACATACACACATTTTGACACATTTAGTGCGCCCGAGATCAAAATATCTGAAATGAGATGAACTGTAGGAAAGAAAAGGAAAATCACTCACTTACATGAGCTCATGCTTTCAGGCACACGCACGCACGCACGCACACACGCACGCACACCACACACTCTAACTCTCTTCCTCCCTCTCTTTTTCACGAACTTTTTCACAGTAACTGAGAGCATTCAGTAGACAACAGGAATGACCTCATTACAGGGAAATACACACATCCAGATTTGAAAAGTGACAGAATTATCAAAATAATTTGTATCTGAGATAAAACTTCCTATATATACATGTATTTTCAGGCTACTTTAAATCCTTTGATAAAATTTATACATCCAAGTAATCAGGTCACACGAGGTACGAGAATGTGAACAAAGTTGCGGCTTCTGCTCTCCAGGTATAAGTATTAATAAAATGCTAACATATGAGTTTTTATAGACGATCATCTCCTATTTCCTCAGATGTAAAATAAAAGAATTTTTTAAAAATAAGAAAATATACAAACATATAGTATACAAATAAAACGAATGTGATTTTACCAAAAATCTGAATCGTGGAACATTTGGGAATCCATTGCATCCCTTTCATCAACCCCCCTTTGGGTACCTTTAAATGATTTAAACCTTGTAGAAATATAAACACAAAAAAAAAAAAAAAAAAAAAAAAAAAAGAGAGACAAACTGCAAAAAAGAGAAAACACAATGAGAGAAGCAAACGGCAAATAAAGAGAAAACACAAAAAAAGAAAGAAAAACGGCAAAAAAGAGAAAACAAAAAAAAGAAAGAAAAACAGCAAAAAAGAGAAAACAAAAAAAGAAAAGAAAAGAAAAAAAAAAAAAATGCAGGAAATAAAACACAATTCTAAATTCCCCCTCGACCTAAAAGGGACCCCAACAGATACCCGTCAACGGCTCACGGCAAAACCATCATTTCCACCGCCAACAACATCCACACCGATAATTCCCCGAGACACTTAAATATCCTCAAAGAAACCCATTAAAAAGCCCCTCCATTAAAAATATACTCAAGCCATGAAATTAATGATAATTTTTCTCTATCCTGATTCGGACTTTTTGTTGCTCGGAGGAAATATTCCCATTAAAGACATTCTGAGCCAAGATACAGCATAATTGAGCAAATATTACATTAATAATCTATGGAAATATATAACAATATTGAGACTCGTCAAAAAAAAAAAAAAAAAAAAAAAAAATCGATAAAATCAATATCTTGATACATATAAATATAACATATAATTCATTTAAACCCTTATATCAAATGAATCAATTAAATAAAACTCCTGATGGAAAACGAAACTAAAACAAGGAGGAAAAGAAAAAAAATATATAAAAGGAAAATATAAACAAGAGATAATTATAAACCTTCGCTCCGCCACACCCATACTTCTTTTCCCTTTAATATCTCCCTTTAAATCCCTTTTCCTCTTATTTCCTCCACTCTTTTCCTTCCCCCTACACTCTCATTCAAGAAAATGTGCATAATTTCCCGAAAAAAACTCGTAAAGCTTACCATTTTGGCGGAAAATGAGGGAAAACGGAGGCGATTGTCGGGGCTTTTTGGGTTTTCTGAGGCTGATCGATAGGCGATGTTGGAGGATAACGAGCCTAGCTTATTTTCTTATTTTCTTATTTGGGTTTATTTTGGTTTGGTCTTTTTTTGGGGTTTAGTAGGGTATGGTTATTTTTTGTGGGATTATTTGTTTTGTTGTTTATTTTTTCTATGTGTGTTTATGGAAATGTTTTTTTTTGGTCTAGAGGATAACGGGTATATTTTTTTTTATTTTTTTTAATTTTTTTTTTTTACATATAAGGTAAGGTTCTTGGGTTGTTTGGTAATTTGGGGGTTGGTTATTTTCGCGATCTTTTGTTCTTTGATAACTGTGATTTTATCTCCCTTTTACCATTTACTTCTGGATAGTTTTTGGATACTGAGAAAATAATAATCATATTTTCCCTATATTTGTTTGTACTTTCATAAACTTACAAATTATTATTCTTTCTTTCCTTTCTTTTCTCTATTTCAGATTTTACGTTCGCAAATCTTTTATTTTACTGCGGATAATTTATAGCATCAATAAAAAAATATATATAAAAATGACTTTCTTGTTTTTTTCCCTTTTCTTTATCTTACCATTCCTATCTATATATATTTTTAAAACATTTATTCTCTATTTAACGAGTTTTTAAAAATAATTTGAGTTTGTAATCCATCGAGAAGTTCATATTGCTCAACGGTCAGCATTTCCGGATATGATGAAGGCTAATCTAAACGATATGAATAAAATAAAATATGAAAATAAAATGATGTTGGAAATGATAGAGAAAGAAAAAGAAAAACAGAGGATATCCCATTGTCTGTCTTGAAAGATAAGCCTCGAGTTACTCACCTGTGTGTCACCTTTCACTATTTCATTTAAACGCATTATATTCACTTAAATCACTCTAAAAAAAAACAAAAAGCACTCAGTCTATGTAGCAAATAAATAATGCTACATGATTATGTGAGAAAACACGGATCTAAAACAGAGGAAATGCCATAAGAAACAAAAAAATTAATTGAACACTCACTTGAGACATGACTGAAGTTCACTCGCTCACTAAGACAACTTCTTGGAGTGAAGTTCCCCACTGAGAGCTTTTGGAAAAATTATCGTACACTCGTGAAATCCTAATTCCCTTATCTGTCTTATGTGATTATGGAGAGATATCTCTTTATATAGATGTACTCACTA